CTTTTCATGGAATTCTGCCGAGCGGGGCGCTCGCGCCGCGCGCCGACATCACGCGCGCGCCGTTGCGCTCGCGCGGGGGGGGTGGGGGGCGCGATCCGTTTCGTATAAATCCATGCGGGCCGCTCGCGCTTCGGCCGCGCGCGCGCGCGTCGAACTCCGTCCAAAACTTTCCGTCGTCGTCGTCGGCGTGATCAGGGTCCGCGTCGCTACTGGCCTCGCCGTCGTCGCTGTCAGCATCGTCGCCGTCATCGCTACTAACATCGCCGTGTGTACCGCTGGCGACGTTGCCGTGATGCCGCGCCCGGCCAAGTCGCCGACTCGCGCTGAAGTGCTTGCTGGGATGTGCCCAGTGGTCAGCGCCGCCGCGGTTGCGTCGGTCGCGCCGCAGTAGCTGGCCGCTGCGCGCGCGGGCTGAAGCGGCCGCAGAGATGCACCAGCCAGCGCCAAGCACTCATGGCAACCGCCGTTGAATAGGGTTTGCAAACCCTGTGGCGGGTGGGTGGGCGGGGTGTCTGCGCGAACAGTGCAGTGGGCAATTTCAAGTTGAGCATTCATTTATTGCGCCGCGTAGATTGCACCGCGTATATTCTCTTGTCTAAAAAAGATTAAAGGTTCGACCACCCTCCCCCCCGACTTAAAGACCCCCCCATTCCCATTGCAATTTGCTCACTATTCTGCCTCATCGTCCATCTTGAATATGAACTTACACCATCCCAGGGGGGCCGGTATCGCCCCACCCCCCGTCGGTTCCCTGGCAACAAATACTATGCGCGCGCATTCGTTTATCAAGAGTCACAAGTTTTCAATATACCCTAGCAAACAAAATCCGAAGTGCACACGCGCGCGTCGTCGCGCGCGCATGCCGGAATCTTTCAAAACAGTTTGGTTTCGGAAGGATTTCAACATCGAGTTTCCGGAACACATACAAAATCAAAGGGTTTCGCAACGCGGATGTTCTAAAAGAGTTTACGCGCGCGGTCTTGCGAATTCTAAGAAACCGCGGTTTTCAACATTTTCAGAACATACATGCTACCCAACGGGCTTCGCGCGCGCATGTCGAAATCGTTCAAACGAATTTTCCGCGCGTGCCGTCGCGAGAATCCTTTGCAACAAATGTGACGAAGTGCGCGCGCGCATGCCGAAATCCTTCAAAAACCATCGATTTCGGGGGATTTCGGAGTCGTCGGTCCAAAAAAAAAAACAAACAACAACACAGGGTTTCGCAACACGTTTTTTGAACAAAAACGTGTGCGCGCGCTCTTGCGTCGTCGTCGTCGTCGTCGTCGCCGTCCTCCCTCCTCCCTCGTCGTCGTCGTCGTCGTCGCCGTCGTCGTTCTTTGTCTTTCCTCGTCGTCGTCGTCGTCGTCGTCGTCGTTTCCGTCGTCGTTGTCGCCGTGGTCGTCTTTCTCCCTCCCTCGTCGTCGTCGTCGTCGTCCGTCGTCGGCGTCTCGTCGTCGTCCCTCCTATTTCGTTGCCGTCGTCGTCGTCGTCGTCGTCGTCGTCGTCGTCGTCGTCGTCTTCCCTCCTCCCTCGTCGTTGCCGTCGTCGTCGTCGTCGCCGTCCTCCCTGTTTCTTCGTCGTTCGCGTCGTCGCCGTCCTCCCTCTTCCCTCGTCGTTGTCGTCGTTGTCGCCGTCGTCGTCGTCCTCCCTCTTCCCTCGTCGTCGTCGTCGTGGTCCTCGTTGGCGACGTCGGCGTCGTCGTCGTCGTCGTCGTTGTCGTCGTCGTCGTCGTCGTCGGCGTCGGCGTCGTCGTCGTCGTCGTCGGCGTCGGCGTCGTCGTCGTCGTCGGCGTCGTCATCGTCGTCGTCGTCGGCGTCGTCATCGGCGTCGTCGCCGTCGTTGTCGTCGTTGTCGTCGTCCTCGAAGTCGTCGGAGTCGTCGTCGGGGTCGTCGTCGTTGTCGTCGTCGTCGTCGTCGGTGTCGTCGAAGTCGTCGTCGTCGGCATCGTCGTCGTCGTCGTCGTCGTCGGCGTCGTCGTCGTCGTCGTCGTCATCGGCGTCGTCATCGGAGTCGTCGTCGTCGTCGGCGTCGTCATCGTCGTCGTCGTTGGCGTCGACGTCGTCGTCGTTGTCTTCGTCGTCGTCGATGACGTCGTCGTCGTTGTCGTCGTAGTCGTCGTCGGCATCGTCGTCGTCGTTGTCTCTGTCGTCGTCGTCGTCGGTGTCGTTGCCAAGTGCCATTTGGTACCTGCCGTCACGGTCTTAGAACGTCTTGCGACCAAGTTGCGGGCGGGAGGGTGGGACGTTTGCATGAGCAGTGGACAGGACAGCTTCAAGACAGTCAAAGTGAATTGCACTACACAGGTTGCACCGCATACATTGCGCCACATATGTTGCACCGCATGGACTGCAATAACGTATTGATTGGGGTCCACGCTGGCGGAAATCTTTCCCGTCGTGTTGGCAATCGTTGTTCGGCATTTGGCGGTTTCCAGTGGGCGCGCTCGGGCCCTGGGGCTAGGGCCCGGGCCTCAGCTAGGGGCCAGGGCTGGGGCAAGGACTAGGGCCAGAGGCAGGGCGCGCCGGGGCCCTGGGGCTTAGGCCAGAGTGTACGGCTCGGGCTATGGCTGAGGCTGGGCCAGGGCGCCGTGAGGCCATGGTGCTCGGGCCAGGGCGGGGGCTCGGGCTGGGGCTTGGCCTAGAGCCAAGGCGCGCGAGGGCCCTGGGGCTGGGGCCAGGGCTGGGGCTGGGGGCCGTGGCGCGCTGAGGCTCTGGGGCTACGGGTACGGCGTGCGTCCGACATCGCTTGTGCGGCGCGCCCAGCTCTCTTCCGGTAGCGTGTGCACATGCCGCGTTCTGTTCCATCTCCTTCCTTCTGCCCCGTCTCTTTTCTATTCTTTTCACCTGATCCCAGCGAGCTTGACATGAGTAAATCCAGCCCGTTGCTTATGACTAAGTGTAGGCCGGCGGGTCTCACGAGTCAAGGGCGCGCCTTGGAGCATCTGCGACACGCACTGCTTCTGTGCACCCGCCGCCCTCCCAAAAGGACGCATTCTTCTTGGGCCTTTGACCAGTCGAGAGCTGAAGAGCTCGTCCAATTCGCGCTCTGCTCCAGCAGGCCGCAGGGAACGCTGCAGACACTTCTCCGTCTTAGCACGCGCTGCTGGGGCACTGTGCTCCTGCTTTGCTTGGGTGCGATCTCCAGAAGTGCCGAGACTTCCCTTTGAATGCAGGGCTTGCTTGAGGCGCAAAACAAATGAAGTAGGTTTAGAGTAGCTCCTGAAGTAGGTCGGCGAAGTAGGTCTGCAGCGCGCCTGGCAACAGTGGTCGGCGCAGGTAACTCGAAGAAGTGGCTCCCTCGGCCCCACTACTGGCCTGTGCGCATCGTACCGGCCAGTAGCGGGCCTAATTTCGACGGTGGCACTTCGGCACGACGGCCATGTCGTTTGCCTTCTTCCCCGTCCCCATCCTCTCATCTCCTCTCATGTTCATCATTGTCATCATCAGCATCATCGGCATCATCATCATCCTCATCCTCATCATTATCATCATTATCATCACCCTCATCATCATCATCATCATCATCAAACATCCCATTCCGCTTCCTCTTCCTCTTCCTCTTACTTTCTCTCTTCCTCTTCCCTTCCTCCCTCCCCCCATCCTCTCCCTCGCCACACTCCTCATGTTTCTCATCTGGGTTCTCACCGTCATCATGATCATCGTCAGCAGCAGCAGCAGTAGCAGTAGCATCATATTCAATTTTCGAGCACCAGGAGCCTGAGAGCGCGGGCCACTCGTTTTTTTGTTTTTTTTTGTTCTTCTTCTTCTTCTACATGCCGAAACGAGGATTATGGTGAGGAATGCGTCGGCCATCGGAATGCCAAAGCCCCTTATTAGGATGCCTTGTGCATGCCAATCGCATCATCCTCTACATCATCATCACCATCATCATCATCATCATCATCATCAGTATCATCAGTAGCATCATCATCATCATCATCAGCATCAGCATCAGCATCAGCATCAGCATCAGCATCATCATCATCATCATCATCATCATCGTCGTCGTCGTCGTCGTCGTCGTCATCATCATCATCATCATCTCATCACCTTGTCTCGACGCCTACCACGGCGAGGGCCCTCAGGGCTCAGGGGGCCCGCCGAATTTTTCGCTTCGCTCGTTTCGCTGGCCCATCCTGTATCACTACTGCCTTGTTGACGTGCTCGTGGCGAGCGAGAAGGAGGAGGAGGCTTCTCGATGGTTTCATGGCGCACTCTTGGGGCCAAAATGGGTCGTGGACAAGACGCCTCTTTTGAGAGGCGTCTCGGGGTCTCTCGGGAGGCCTTCTTTGGCGGCATGTTGCAACCTCCTGGGGATTCTGGGGGTCCTCTCTGGGGGAGTAATCATAGTTTATCCCTCGTGCGGTGCTCACACCAGTTGGGTCCAGCATTCGTCTTCGAGAAGGGCTGCTTCCCTCGTGGCTAATCTCCTCGGCTCGTCGGGTCGCCAGGACGGGCGCGAGGACAGCCGGGCCTCCGCGCGCCGCGGTCCGGGCCAGAGCGGCCGCCCTTCTTTCGAGGGGCGGCGCGACTCACCGCGCAGCGCTCCGCGAGGGCGCCCCGCGCGAAGTCGGGCGGCCCAAGTCGTCGCCAACTTGCTTCTGGTGCGTCCGCGCCCCGCTCTGGGCCGCTGGCACTCTGCCTGGGCTCGGCCCCGCCCAGGACCGTCTCCAGCCTCGGCCCCGCGGTCGGCCGCCTCTGGCCTCCAGCGCTCCGTGCACCCTGCTCCCTGCTCCTTGCCTCTCTCCTCCGGCTCTCCTCCGTCCGTCCTTGCGTCCCGCGCCTTCTCCCCGCCTTGCCTCCCGCCTTGCCTGCCTCCGTCCTCCCTCGTCCTCCTCCCCCATCCCCGTTCTCCTTCCCCCCCTCTCGCCTCCTTTCCCTCCTCAGTCTGCCCTCCCTCCTCCTCCCACCGCCTCTCTCCTCCCCCCTCCGCTCTCCTCGTCCTCCTCGTCCTCCTGCCAACTCCACGTCCACCTCCCGCTCCGCTGGCTGGAAGGGGAGGCTCCGAAGAACTGGCAGCTCATCCCACGACTACGAGCGATATTCGCGAGTTCTGCCAGGACCTCAAGGTATGCGGCAAGGCCGAACTGAGGCGCCGCCCCTCCTGGATGATGATGCTGCTGATAATGATGATGATGACGACGATAATGGGGACGACGATGACGGGGACGACGACGATGACGATGGCTATACCGGTGACGATAATCATGGTGATGGCGGGGATGGCGATGGTGATGGTGATGGTGATGGTGATGATGCTGCTGCTGCTGATGATGATGCCGACGATTATGATGGGCTGGCGATGATGAGGATGATGCGAATACGTATGCGGACGATGATGCCGATGATGGTGGTGGTGGCAAGGATAATGACGACGACGGCGATCATGGTGATGATGAATGTGGCGGTGGTGATGCCGACGATCATGACATCGATGCCGACGCCGACGACGGCGACGATCACGATGATTGTGGCGCTGTTGCAGATGATAATGAGGATGAGGATGATGATGAGGATGATGATGATGATGAAGCTGATGCTGAAGCTGAAGCTGATGCTGATGCTGATGCTGATGCTGCTGATGATGATGATGCTGATGCTGCTGATGATGCTGATGATGGTGATGATGCTGATGATGATCATGATAATGCTGACGATGATGATGATGATGCTGCTGCTGCTGCTGATGATGAGGATAACGACTATGTTTGTGCGGATGCTAATGGCGGCGGTGGTGGTGGTAAGGATGACGAAGAGAACGGCGATGATGGTAATGATAGGAAGGATGACGATGAGAGCGACAATGAGAAGGGATTCCCCCCGAAATGGGTACGATCGAAGACCAAGTGGGCGGGTGTCGAGGATTTTGGAAATATGCGTTAACGGACCCTCGAGCAGATAAGAGCGAGCAGTCCTAAATTTGTTGTTGTTGTTGTTGAGCACTCATTTCTAGATAGTAAGAATTGTCGATCCCTCCTGCCCCGTAACCATTGCTTTTTTAAGTTCAAGTGTGTATCCTGGGGCTCGCATCCTGATGTTTGTTCTGCACCAGAGTTTTCCCAAATCGCGCTCTCGCTCGGGACTTCTTCACAAGTTGTTCAGGAATCGCTCTCGCGCGTGGGAATCCCTCGCAATTTATTCAGACGCCGCGCCCTCGACACTCAAGAATCACGCTGTCGCTTGGTCCTTTCTCACGGTTTACTTGTAAATCGCGCTGTCGCTCGAGCTCTCCTCGCGAATCATGCAGGACTCTCGTTTCAGCAAGACGTCTTCTCGACCTGGCCGCTTGGGCCCGCCGTCAAGACCCGCCCGTTAGGGTCTAACCCGCCCGATGGGCCCGTCTGGTTCTGCCACGTGCTTTCTGCTCCCGGCCCCCCCCTCCTGCTAATCCCGTGCTCCATGCTTCTCCCTCACCCTTCCATCCGTCCCCTCTTCCCCTGTGTCAGGGGCTTCACCAATTACGCGCGGCAGGTAAGGAAGATATACCCCCAGGGGGTACTAACGAAGACGCAGAGGGTGGGTACCGAGGGTTTGGGATATACGTGTTGAATTGCACGCGAGCAGGTACGAGCAAACAGGCACATTATGATTGTTGTTGTTATTGTTGTTGGTGTTGGTGTTGGTGTTGCTGCTGCTGGTGTTGCTGCTGTTGATGTTGTTGTTGCTATTGTTGTTGTTGTTATTGTAGTAGTTGTTGTTGTTGTTGTTGATGTTGTTGTTGTTGTTGTCATTGTTGTGGTTGTTGTTGTTAGTACTCGTCGTAGTAGTGTTAGTACTACTAGTGGTAGTCGTAGTCGTAGTAATAGCCAAAGTCGTAGCAGCAGTAGTCGTAATAGTAGTAGTAGTAGTAGTAGTAGTCGTAGTAGTAGTCGTAGTAGTAGTAAAAGTAGTAGTAGTAGTAGTAGTAGTAGTAGTAGTAGTAGTAGTAGTAGTAGTAGTAGTATGAGGAGTAGTAGTAGTAGTAGTAGTAGTAGTAGTAGTAGTAGTAGTAATAGTAGTAGGAGTAGTAGTAGTAGTCGTAGTCGTAGTAGTCGTAGTCGCAGTAGTAGTAGTAGTAGTAGTAGTCGTAGTAGTAGTAGTAGTAGTAGTAGTAGTAGTAGTAGTAGTAGTAGTCGTAGTAGTAGTAGTAGTAGTAGTAGTAGTAGTAGTCGTAGTAGTAGTAGTAGTAGTAGTGTAAGTAGTAGTAGTCGTAGTAGTAGTAGTAGTAGTAGTAGTAGTAGTAGTAGTAGTAGTAGTAGTGGTATAGTAGTAGTAGGTAGTGTAAGTAGTAGTGGTAGTGGTAGTAGTAGTAGTAGTAGTAGTAGTAGTAGTAGTAGTAGTAGTAGTAGTAGTAGTAGTAGTAGTAGTAGTAGTAGTAGTAGTAGTAGTAGTAGTAGTAGTAGTAGTAGTAGTAGTAGTAGTAGTAGTAGTAGTAGTAGTAATAGTAGTAGTAGTAGTAGTAGCAGTAGTAGTAGTAGTA